ATACAAAGTAAGAGAGGATGCAAACAAGATAATAAACAACTACCAACATCCACGGACACACGTCCGGATCACTGTACAACAAGGGTAAACCCGGGATCGCTATATAAACAGACTATTATATGTATATATCTATAATACTATATGCTTATAAGTATTTATAAAAGGACATCCATCATTTTTGGCTTATAAGTAATTATTAAAGTACATCCACCATTTGTTTTTTGTTTTTTTTGAGCAAAAAAGAAAAAAAATCTACGATCATAATGATACATATATTTTAATAACAACATTAAATCGATCGTGTGTTACGTGGATCACATTGTAGATGTATGAAATAGGGATGAAAAATGTTTGAGGGCCCGAAATCGTTTGGCTCGAAATTGGTTCGAAATTCAAAACGATATCGTTTTGAGTTCTCTTACCGGTAACATGTAATAAAATTCTCTTACCGGTAAGATATATTACAATTTTCTTACCGGTAAGATAATCCAAAACGACGTCGTTTTGGATTCAGGACAAATTCGAGCTTGAAAATTTCGAGCCCTGTAGCAGTGTTTAATAGGGATATTCGTGGGACGGTTTAATTTGTTTGGCACTAACTTTGGAATAAATTCAATTATGATTAGTTTTAAATTTTTGAACTTAGAACTAAATTAATCATACACTAGAACTAACCTGAACAAACCCAATGCAGCTCGGATTTGTTCGGTTTGAAATCACGATTTTATTATATTAAAAATAATTAAATTAACATTTTCTTCTAATTTGTCTACCTCTCTAATTTTGCATCAACATTTTCCTCCAAGTATTTGTCTATCTTTGACTTTGCATCAACATTTTTCTCTTCTTCCAAGTGCTTTAAAAATTCATATTGAAGAACTTGTCAACCCATTTCATTTGATTTTGACTCATCCTATTTAAAGAAGAACTTAAAGCAGAGTGTAGTATTTCATAATGCACTTACATACAGTTTATGAGTTGTCTTATTTTCTATACTAAGGCCTCGTTTGGGAGCAGACTTTTTTAGTAACTTTTTAGCTTTTTGGCTAAAATATGATATTAAAAAAATTAGTATGTTTGGGATAACTTTTTGACTTTTTACCAAAAGATGTGCAAAAAGTAGAGAGAAAAGGAAATTCTTGACTTTTTGGTATAGATTGTTTGCTTTTTAATTTTTTTTAATAACTTTTTGACTTTTTAGGTAAAAAAGTCACTTGCCAAACAATGTCTAAATCGTTTACCTTGTCAATAGGCTAAATCATTTAGCTTGATACAGAGTCTATTACTCTTGGACCAATAATTCAAAATTTATTCAATTGTACAAACTTCGTGAAAATAGGAATTTGATGTAACATACAAGATCATGATAATATTAAGACATGTCAATATAAAAAAATATTAAAAAAAATTATATATCCATATATTGGTTCGATACTCGAGTTGGTTCGGCTTAGACAAGATTTAAACCAAGAACTAACTCAATCCTATGAGTTTAACAATTTGAAGACTGGAACCAAATTAATGCACTAAAAAACTAAACCAAACTAACCCAAAGAGATTAATTTTATTCGATTCTTTAGATATTATTTTTTAACTGGTTTATCTGGATATTTTAAACACCCCTAATATGAACGGTTTCAAGATACTTCAACAGCACAATAGTAAATGCTTTCTGGCAATAGTAACCAGAAAAGGTTTTGTTGTTATTACAAAAGAATCACTGTTGATCCAATTGGATTTTTAAGATTGTTTTGAATATTGATTTTTTTTAGGCTTTTTAATTATTTATGAAAAAACATGTTAAAAAAAAGAAGAATTTATTTTTTGTATTGATTTTTTAATTTTTTGATTTAAACTTGAGTCGCCAAAATAAGCCTTAGTGTGGTTTGTATAACACTAACTTTAAATTACACCTTCTTTACACCTTAATTTGAGATATTTTCGGAGTAAATATTATGAAAATATTTGAGTCTTTTAAAATGTTTTTACAATTTGACCCATACTAATGTAATATGACAAGTATCAACTTTTGATTTTTTACACAACCAATGATATAATTAATTCGTTGATCATATTCTTGTAAGTGAATTTTTTAATTTAAAATTATAGATTTCTAACTATTCTCTTTCCATAATATATATTTTTGACTATATAGGAGAACACTCAAAAAGAAAAAAAAAAAATTAAAAAAAGACTTGACGATCTTCAATAAAAATGTAATATTTTCATCATCTCCCGACCGTCTCCAAAATGAAAGCATTTGAACAATTTTTATAATCATTTGAAAATTCTAATCAAACATAAATTTCACACCAAAAAAAAAAAATGACAAGAATAATGTAAAAATATCATTTTTATAAATAAATTTATATTTATAAATATTTTGTTTTAAAGTGAAAAATACATATTGTCATGTCATTAGGGTATATAAAATTGAAAAATGCACACTAAATTCATCTCTAACTTTTTGTTTTTAATAATTAAGGGATTAAAACATACAAATTTATAGACAAAAGAATAAAATGATATTTATTACTAATTAAAGACATATTTCGGTAATGAATAATGTTATATGTACTAACAAGTATACTAATAGATAATGTGATATAATTTTAAAAGTTTTGAGTGTTTGTAATTTATATAATAAGTATGGTCAGTAATCATAACATAACACTAGTACGTATATTAATTAGTACATATAATACCACCATTGTATAATTAATTCAAAAAAATTACATATGACTTTTAGGTGATGTGCAAAAAAAAAAAAAAACATCCACTTGTGATCCCTTCCCCTTGACCCCCCACCTCCTCCTCTCAACCGCCCCCAAAAACCTTAATAAAAACCATTGCACCAAACCACCCACCCCCATACCTAAAACTCTGAAAACTCTTCTCCCCTCCTCAAATTCTACCACCACCACCAACCCACAAAGAATGAAAAAGAAGGAAAAATGTTTGGTAATTTGAATTTATGTGGTCTTTCAACCCACAAAGAAAGAAAAATATTTGATAATTTAAATTTATGTAGTTTAAATGATTCAAATCAAAATAATTTTATTTTATCTTCAAAATGATATTATTTTATCTTTAGAATGATATCATTTTAAAACATTCGAATTATAAAAATTTAAATTACTAAGCATTGTTGAAAAAGAAAACAAAGCTATAAAAATTGGAATTACTAACCGTTGTTGAAAAAGAAAACAAAATTTTCTTACCAACCAAATGGACTCAACTCTGACCATAGGGTTAAGATCATCCATCTTCCACCTCAACACCACCACTTCTAAACCCCACCTAAAATCACCACCACCACTCTTTGTCCCTCCCTACCTCCATTTCCCAAGAAACCCCTCTTCCAATCCCCAATTTAGACTCAGAGCTTCCTCTAATTAATTCCACCCCTGTAAATGGTGGTTCCTCCCAAAACCCCATCTTCCACAACCTCAAAACCGCCGCCGCCGCCTCCATGGCCGGAAAATTCCACCCCTTGCCGGCGAGAGCTGAGACCCCAACAACTGTGATAGAGGAAGAGCAAGTCCAAGATCAGCAGCAGCAAGAAGAAGAAAAAGAATTTCAAGATCAATCTTCAGATTCTTCTACACCCTTGTCGCAATTTCTCGATTCGAATTCGAAGGCAATAGAGGATGAGCCTTATTCTGTAAAAAATCTTATGTGTTCATAGCACAACTGATGGTTAGTTTGTATCACCCTCCACCTTCACCATTTAATGTTCAAGCTTGTTCATCACTCGCATCATGCATTGTACAAAATTAAAAAGAAAAAGAAATAAATAAAAAAAAAAGGTAATTACTCAAATGTAGCAATCTCTTCTTACAATTTAGTAGCTATAAAAATAATGTAAAATGAATGAACCTCATGATTTGGATTCAAATATTGTTACCAAATGATTTGGCCAATTAAAAATATGTCACCACCATCTAAATTCTATATAGAATTCTGTTTTATAGACACTGATGTTAACAATCCTTGATTGAACAAAATTCTCAGTTGATTTGCCCAGTGAAAATAAGAGATAAGAAGATTACAAAAACAAAGCAATTTACACAATAATATATATTTTTTTATTTAAAAAAGCCAAGCCATTAGAAATTTAGGGGAAATTTTATTTCCAAACACTAAGTTTCCTTACTACACGCATTTAATAAATTTTTTAGAATTATCCTTTAACAAAATTACCATCTCACCCACCACCATCTCATAATTTCTCCATAATTCTACTGAATTTCACTCCCAACAACTTACCTATTGCCAGCAAAGTCAAAGCGGAAGGCACTAATTCTTGCTTTCCCTAGAACAACAGCAAGAATTACCATAAGAATGCGATCCTAAAAATCATAACAAAGGACAACCATCAAAAATAAAAATAAAGTAACAATACCAACAGTTGCTATTCAATTCATATTATCTGCCAAATCAAAACACAGCTCCAATTACTATTACCAACCTTTGAGGATCTAAATACATGGCACAAGATTACAAGTTCTTTAGAACCTATTTCATGCAATATCCCCACAAGCTTGTCCCCATGGTTGCTCTGTATTATAACTCGCTGCTGTTGAATGACTGTTGAGACGCAGCAACAAAAAAAAAAATGATGCAATGCTTAAATCAAAGAGATTACTATGATGAAAAGGTGGCAGAGGATCCAAACTCGTTTTCACTTGACATTTCACATCAGTTCATACTCATTATGATATGGTATATGAAATATCACACCTATTCAGGAAATCAACTATCATAAAAGAGGATGTACACAAGGTGAGGGTATATTTGAAATGTGAAGTGTGTAGACTGAGATAAAGAAGTAAAAATCAAATTATTAAATGTGTGGATTGAGAAAAGATGTACACATGGATAATTTGGTGTGTGGAAATAGAATTTTCCGAAATTTAGAGCTGCTATTTCCCCTTTTTACCCTTCTTCGACTTGTTATTTCCTTTTTTACCCTTCTTCGACTTGCTATTTCCCTTCCCCTTGTTGCTTTCAGCATCGCCACCATTGCCATTGTTTTTGGTTCCCGAAGAATCACCAGTAACCTGCAACGCCTTCCCTTTATCAGAATTGCTAGTTTCTTCCTCAACATTGTTGCTAGTCTCCTCCTCACTATTGTTGCTAGTTTCCTCCACATTGCTATGATGAGCTTCCTTTTCATCAGCATTCGTATTGTTAAGAACGAACAGCTGGTTCAAGAATGTTTCCAGCCTTGGCCTTCTCAAGTGCAGGCTTTCCAAGAGTTGGGTGATTGTTGAAATGTTTTCTTCTAGTTCCGTTTCACTGAAAGATTAATAATAATAAAAAAAATCCAATAATTGTGCACACCATAACATGAAAATGGTTACAATCTACGTAGCACAAGCATGATCACATGGCATGATTGATTTTTAAAAAAATACAAGACAAAAAAAAAAAAAAAAAAAAAAAAACAATATGATTAGAAAAGCCTATGCAAAGTATGATGCAGTAAAATGTAAATTTTATTCTAGTGTTTTCAACAAGTCACTAAAAGAGGACCATATTACAAGAACAAAATCTTATCATAAGATGCAGAGTTACAGCGCCAAAATCAAGAATTAATAGAATATTCATGTCCCACTAGAATTCAAAACTACGGGGAAATGAATGGCATTATCCACGTTAGAGTGAAGCAAATTATGCCCATTTCAAATGAAATTATAAACAAACCACATGCAAATATTTATCCATATATACCAAATAAATAAATTGATAAATATTTTATGAATAGAAGTAGATCTAGGAAGGCTTTAAAAAATGAAAAGTTACATTTAAACCGACCTCATATCCAGTGCAGAAGATAGCTGCTTCAATTCATCAAGCATGCAGTTTGCTTCAACAAGAAGGTTTCCATCCTCATCATCACAAGTCTTCTTCTCAAAGGCTTTAAACAAAGCAGCAGAAACAAAGCCTATACCATTCTCTACCTTGACCTATAATAGATATACAAGGGGAAAAAAAAAATCAAATTTAGATCCTAATCCTTTAACATTCAATGACGTCAATCAATTTGGCATTTACCTTTAACTTCGAGGCACTAGACACAAATTTTGTAACGTTTCCATCTCCTACGCTCTCTACCAACATTAAAGCATCAGATATTTGCACAAAGATTCCACAATTCATTTGCACGTTGCCTTCATTTATATTCTGACTGTTCATCTTCTGATCTGCCATGGCAGCTAAGTTTGAAGGTGGAGCCTTAGAATTCTTCGCTCTATCCACTTCAACCGCTACAGTTTGACCTCGACGAGTTTTGTTGTTAATAGGAAACAACAATCTCATGATGTCCTCTCTGCTCCGGGAAACTCTCATGTCGACAAAAATGGCATCAGGACATGAAAATGTTGAACAATTTTCTCCCAAGCTCGCTATAACAAGAGGATTCCCAATCTTCTTGCACGCTTCTGCAAGTACATTTACATCTATTTTCACATGATTGTGTCTCCTCCTTCTAAGGACATCATAGAATTCCGGCGGTAGCCCCTTAGTAATATCACTTCTCCCCATCAAATCAAGAAGTAAATCAAGATACTTTCCAGTTCCACAGTTCACACAAAGCAAGCACAATGTAACCATCAATCTCAACAACAGCAGTGGATAGTAATGATTGAAATTGATATGAGATTTTTTAATCCATTCTGCTGTATCTTGCTTGTTGTACAAGAAATCCTTGATTATGGAAGCGACAAAATCATAAATGCAGCTCACAGAAAATCGATTGTCAGTTACTAAATTAGCAGTTCCAACGGCATTTGATTGCTCGCAAATAAGCCATTCAACAAACGAAGATTTTGTGGTGAGAAGGAATCCCTGAAAGCCAGATGCAAATATCAAAAGTCGCTCTATAAGATACAAGAAACAACTAGGCGATATATAGTCAGCTTGTCTCCAGTTGGCATTATAATAAGTATCTTTCAAAGCTTCGTAAAACTTGTATACAGAAGACACCGCTCTTGGAGCCTCACAGGAATTGCCTGATACAGATTCCTGTGCAAATTCTGATTTTATGTTTCCACTTAGCTCCTTAATGAACCCGCCCCAAGGTGAATACTTTTCAAAACTCTTTGCAATCTTCTTGTATAGTTCATCAGTTGGCTTTCCTGAACCAAGCCTTATCATTAAAATCCTCCCAATTTGGCCATAGGTTAGGTCACCCTTGATGTTTACAAGGTTATCAAGAATAACCTCCTCAAGAACGTTCCGGGAAAGCTCACTCCCTCTTAGAGAAATCATACTCTCTGTTAATGATTCCCGCCAATCTAAAGGAAACACATTCTCAAAGTATGCAGTAGATAAGCTGAGAAAACGTTGCAAAGTTTGAGTTTCATGGTTCTTGTATGAAACATACTTGGACCCCAAAAAAGATTTTGTTAACTCAAAGATATAAACAAGAGGCATGCTTCGGCAAAAAACAGACATTGAATTTGAAATTGCAAACTTATGAAGTGCCTTCAGAGTTTCCAACACCTTAATACCAACAGAAAGCAATTCTGAGTGCCAATGAGTCTGAGCGGCTGAAACAAAAATGGCGTACATCAGCAGAAACCAACTTTCCATTTCTCCGAAGAAATCTGTCATCAATTTCTCTCACCCAATCAGCATCAGCATTCAGAAAAAGGAAACTGGTATTAACATTATTCAACTGTCTCTTCCGCACACCAAAGTAATTCAAACAGAAGTCGCCATAGCTATAATATTCATCAGCATCATGAGTTTCAAGACAAGCCAGGTACTTGAAGATATACTCAACCTTCTCTTTCCAAAGATTCCAAAAGCAAATCAGCGTTACAACAGACACACGGTTATGTGAAATGCTTTCTTGTGAATGCTTCATCAAATCCACTACTAATTCATGTTCCCAATCATACATCGAGGTACTTGGCTGCAGATGAATATCCAGAATTTTTCTTACGGATAAGATTTCACCTCTGAGGCTTTTATTACCACGGGAAGCGTTCAAACACTGACTCAACTGGAACAAGTTAGATTGTTCAGTTGATAAAATGTTAGCCTCAGTGCAAACAAACTCATAGAAGATGTCTGAATCTTTCTTTGCAAACGACTTGGCTTTAGCTAAAATCTCCTCCTTTTGCAAAAAGCACTTTAGTGGCCAACCTCTGCTTCCAGATGCCCACAGAGAATTGGAGAAAACATACCTTAAAATAAGCTTCGACGCCTCTTTAAAATGTCCAGCCTTCCCAATCAGATCAGCCTCGCATAGAACATCTCCTTTTAGCTCTGCAACCTCCGCAGCCTCCAAAAAATTTCCCGATTCTTCTTCCATCACTAAAAGCTCATCAAGGCAATCCAAAGACTTCAAGAAGTTGCGAACTGAATCCATCGAGTGAAAAGCTCTCACAAATTTCATCATGGATCTATTATCTTTCAGTTCATAGTAATTAAGTGCACAACTCTCAAGGAACTGTTGTTCAATTTTGTTGATTTCTTCACTTCTTTTGACCATCATACCATTGTCTCTACGGGCATCTTGTTTCCAGCATTGAATGTATTGTAAACCCATGTCAAAAAAATTTCCTTTGGTGCAAACAGACAAGCACTCTGAAAAATATTTTCCACGGGCGTACACTTCAGCTGCAAGTTTATAACTACCTGCCAGAGAGAAACATTCCCCAGCTTTGTTCAGCTCAGTTTCCCCACACTTATCCAAATAAATTCTTCCTGCAAAGTTAAAAAAATTACAACCTAGATGTCAAAACTTTGCTAACCCAAAAGTGCATTTAAACTTCTAAGTTAAATGTTGGAGACTTGGAAAATATAACTAGAACGGCAAAACAAGATGAAGACAAAATAAAGCAGGCAAAAAAAGATAAAGACAAAATAAAGCAGGCAAATAATGCTGTTGTAACCTTACAAAGGAAAAACACGAGATCAAATTTGAGTGCACTTGTTTTGGAGCATAGTAATGACCTAGAAATTTGGCAAGCAAGAAAACCTCAAGGTTTATCTTAGTTTTTTCAGCAACATTATTGGGAAATGATATTCACTCTCCACATTAGCCTCTATATTTGGCCATGTAAAAATAACTGCTTATGCCAAACAAAATATATTAATTTGCAAGTGCACACAAACAGAGAAAAAAAGGAGAATTACTAAAATAAAAAATACAAAAAAAAAGGCCATCATTCAAACATTCTGTCCAATGATCTTGTTGTGTATAACATAATCAAAAAAAATTCATATTGGTAAAAAAGGTAAACCCTAAACCCTAAAATAATTTTAAAGATAAAAAATTCATCAGTTAGCTACTTATCAAAAACAATAATTTAGGGTATGCATTTCATGACGGAAAGGGTTATGCATTTGTGATTCTCCACTGAAAGAAATCTACCCATTATCCTAACATGTACTAGTATAGTATAGGTCAAATTATCTGATTAGTTAAAAGTCATGATTTGTTGGTATTTTTCAAGGTACGTACCATCTTATGAAATCTAAAAATCATAAGCCACTAAATAGTGTTAAGTTGCATAACAGTTCATATTGCAAACAATATTTTCAAATTAACAAAAAAATTAATTGAAAAACAAATGAACAGAAAACGATACCTGCTCTTTCATACTCCCCCAAGTCACAAAAACATTCGGCAGCTGACTTAGCCATACCAATAGAATCAAATAACTCAGCAGCTTCCCTAAGAGCCGTGCAAGCCCCTTCAGGATTCGAACCACGCATACGATCTGCATTTGCTTTAAGGCCTGAAGCCTTGGCCCTTTTTCCCCACATTGTGTCTCCAGCCCTTTCAAAGCACATTGTTGCCATCTCATAGTTATTCTCATGATAGAGCTAAAGAACACAAAAACAATGCACGTGTAAGAAAAATTATGATATGATTTTAAAAAGAAAAACAGTGTGTTAAAATTAATATATGGAGCAATCAAGCAGACCTTGATACCCCTTTTCTGCCACTCTTCTGGGCTACTTGCAACTTGCATTGCCTGTGCAAGTGAATCGTCCAATTTCCTTACTTGGACAAGGCACAACTTCTTCCAATAGTCAAACATAGGCTTCGAGAGCTCCTCAGTATTCTCACAAATCCACAACCTTTGCCTCGTACGAGTAATTGCCACATAGAGTTGCTTCAGTTCAGAACACAAGACATTATGTCTTGCCTGATCGAATTTCGGAAAGGACCTGCAAGTACCATCAAGCATCTCTTGTTCTTCCATAAATTCATATATTACTCTCCATTGATTTTTCAGAGGTGATGAGCCAAAAAAGTTGTACAATAACACATCCTATGAATGATAAGAAATGAATCAAATAAGTAAAATATGAAAGATATATAAAAAGAAGAAACATATGAATAAAAACTAATAGTCACCTGAAACTCTAGGCCCTTACATTCCACAATAGTCAAAACAAGTGCCTGCTTTCCAACATAGTCAGATATTTCCTTCCTGGCACAATCATCTCGTACTAATATGACCTGCTCGGCGCCAAAGCCAACTATGTCCCCACTGACATTTCCACTCTTTCCAAAAATAGTTACAATTGCATTTTCATCATTTCCAGACTCAAGAAGAACTGGAGCTTCACCGTATATAAGACTTGTCTCAGGTTCCAAAACATCAACAGAATGACAAAAGTAACGGTAAAGAAGGTTAATGACACTTTGTGCTAATCTAAGCACACCATCATGGGTACGAAAGTTCTGGCGAAGGCCAAAAATCTTTGATATATATCCTTTCTCCTTTGTTCCAACAAATGCATCGGCTCTTGATTCCATTACAAACTCATTGTAGAATAAAGATCGTATATCTTCGAACCTAAAATCAATTCCCCTTGCAATAGTCTGTGCTGTGTCACCTGCAAAAACAAAGCCCTCGTCCACATTTCGGCAAATATATTTGAAAAGAGAAATTTGTCTCATTGTAAGATCTTGCACTTCATCAATATACACAAAATCCATTTTGTCACCCTCAAGTATTACATTTCTTAGTCGATAATGAAGATCATTCACTAAATCAGCTAAATCATATTCACCCTTTTCCATCTTTGTTTTCTCATAATCCAGAAAGATATCATAAATTTTCTCTCTCTTCTGCTCACTCAAAGTAGATGCCCGACCCTCAGACAGGTGGATATAATCCTCTTGACTAAGTCTACCGTCACGAGCCTCACCCACTCCCAATCCACCTTTTATATGAGAAATTATCTCAGTAAACACTTTGGAAGGATCAAGCTTCTTTGTTAGCATAGAATTGAAATGGGGCCAGTACAATGAACAGAACCTCTCATAGTTAACCTCCTTTGTTCTTAAGAAAGTTTCCAAAGCAACTGATCTTGAACCACTAGTTCTACAATGAGAAAGTCCGCTTACACCAAGGAACCTTTCAAAGTATGATTTGCCCAATGTTCCATCGAGCATCATTAAGAACTTATGAAATGTGATGACAAGAGGGTATTTGTTAGGAGCAATGTCAAGAAAAGAATCTGGGATATCCATAAATTGTGCTGTATCATCCATATCAGTTGTACTGTTTTTTCCAGAAAAATTCCCGCCATCAGCAAACCTATACATAAAATAAGGCTGATAGTTAAGAGAGAGGGGGGGGCAAAAAAAAAGTATTACCCTTAGGCAGTTAACGCAGAAAGAGTACATGTCATCTTAGGTCAACAATAACAATTAACAGAGATCAAGGCAGACCAATTAATGCATTAATTTAGAGATCAATCATACAAACTATAGGAAACCAATTTGATAACATAACCTCCATCCATTGTATGACTGTCAATTTATTTGTATAGTATAAAAACTTCTGAGAACTTTTATAAGACCTGTTGCACACTCAGTCATCTAAAACCAAAAAACATTCACTTTAGTTTGCTGATCACTAATTTGCAACTAAGACAGTAAAAACAAAATACAAAAAAGGAACAGGTTGTGACAACCCCATAATTGAGCATCTTACACACCTTTTCAGCCCAGAAACATGTTGTTTGATAGCATAACACAGTTTCGGACTGACTGTTACGAAAAGTTGGCGCAAGACACTATCCTTAATCTCTACAACGCAGTCACTAACATCGTTCCTCTGGCTCACATCTGTACTGGTACTGACCTCATCTGCATAAATTCCTTTTGAAGCAATATGGTGGTGTTGCTCCTTCTGAAACAATTTCATTGTCAAAACTGTGGTTTTACCGGTTCCTGACCGTCCAAGTATAAATGTGCTTCTAGGGAACAAGATAATCTCTAATTCCTGGTCTGTTACTTCAAAAGGTAAGTCCATTTCTTTACCATCGCGGTCAGAAAGTAAGTGGCTCACCACACCGGACGACAAGGAGTAGAATTTCATCAACAACAGGCTCTCACTAACCTTTGAATTCTCAACATAACCCCTACCATCAATAGTACTGCCACTTGACTCATTCCCATGTGCATGGTTGTCAAGATTCTTGAACTGGACAATGTCAACAGATTTCACCCAACTCTTTGGAACTTCCAAATACCTGAACACAAAAAACCAATAAAAAAAGTTAATTAACCTTTGAAATTCAAATATATAATATATATAATATATTTCATATGTTCAAATTTAGTAAAAAAAAAACAAACATACCCTTGGAAGCATTTCTGCTTACAGTGATCGATATAATCATCGGTGTACCTAGCAAACATGCCATCAAGGCGTTTAACCAATTTTGGGATCTCTTCCAAAGGCAATATATCCCAAACCTTCAAAACTTGTTTGTAAATCGAATCCTTTACAATGTCAATGGTGCAAACAACATAGAGCCCTTCAACCATGAATTGTTTCAAGATCTGTGCAGAGCTCTCACAAACTGAGTCCACATTCTTCTTTTTAGGTCGCCAACCACTTGAAAGCTTCAGTAATAGGTTCATAACTGACTTTTTAAGACGGATTGAAGTAAGTTTCCCAAATGATTTTCTGAAGTTGTCGCTGAAAAAAACCTGGGGTGAACCAATGGGAAAAAAAATGTCAAATCAAATTACATGCAATCTAAAGATTAAAAGTTCTGTGATTTTAGAGATACATAGAAGGATAATAACATCATTTAATCACTAGAAGTTAAATACCTTCCATCTTGCACTTTTGAAAAGTATACTATCCTTATTGAACAAATCATCCATTTGATCAAGCTCTTTCTTGACATCTATTATTGCTTTGGCCAAATCTTTATATAAATCTGCATCAAAGAAACATTGGCGATCCCTAGCATCATGGACTATCGCTTCCCAAACTGATTCACTACTAGCTAGTGTCTTTTCATTTCCCAAAATCCAAAGACAGTGCCTGGAAATCAAAGGACATGAATATTCATCATCTTAAAAGCAAAAAGATTAAGAAGTGAACTTAAGAGGGGAGTCTGTTTGAATCAATACCGAGCTCTTGTCAATGCAACATTAGTTCTCTGGGAACTGGACATGAAGCCAACAAATCTACCTTTATTTGATCTTACAGTAGAAATTATTATGACATCTGCCTCTCCACCTTGAAACCCATCAACTGACTTCACCTTCACTGTGAATCCCTCGAGGTTGTCATATTTTTGTTCAATTTTGTCTTTGATAGCCACAACTTGAGCGGCATAAGGAGATATCACACCAACGCTAAGCTTCTTTTTGTAGCCTTCCCATGCTGTACACAACATCAACCAACCAAAAAAAAAAAAAAACAAAGCAAATCATTTAGTATGTGAAAAAAAGTTTTACAATTTTAATAATTCAACAGAAAGTTAATTTCTCTAATGGTGACGTTTAAGATTGAGGGAATGATTCCATCAAAATTGTCAAGCAAGGTAAGCATAACAGGTAATTTTCAGTATTTTATTTTCATTTCTTCATGCTATCTTTGCTTTCTTGTTCTTTTTTTTTTCCTCTGTGTTTACAGTCTGTTGAGCACCATCTACAAAAGAGTGAAGGAAAATGGTGTAAACACAACATTTGATAAAAGTGCTTCACTACTGTTTGGTAATGGTTCCGAAAACTGCCTTGTGTAATTGAAACTAGAAAAATGAAAACAACGCAGAAATGCATATCAAAATACTTTTTCTTTTTGATAAGTAGAAAGAAAATTTTATTTCTCTACTCCACCTACTACATACCTACCTCCTCTAATCTTCTATATATAGGACTCATTGTAAACATAATGGATATAACATACAATTTATTCTCTCTCTATCAATTTATTTTACATCTCTCTATCAGATATAACATACAATTTATTCTTTTTTTTTCCTCTGCGTTTACAGTCTGTTGAGTTATCGCCCTCTGCAAAAGAGTGAAGGAAAATGGTGCGAATACAACATTTGATAAAAGTGCTTCAGTACTGTTTGGTAATGTTTCTGAAAACTGCCTTGTGTTATTGAAAATAGAAAAACGAAAACATATCAAAATACTTTTTCTTTTTGATAAGTAGAAAGAAAATTTTATTTCAAAAAGGCATTAAATTTTTCTGAAAACTGCCTAGAGTTCTTGAAAAAAGAACAATGAAAACAACGCAGAATGCATATCAACTTACCTTTTCTTTTAGGTAAATAAAGAAAAAATATATATATATATTTCAAAAAGGAATCAAGGGAATGCCACCAAATTCAAGAAGGACCAAGAAAACGAAAGATCTCTATACACCTCCAGTTGTCTTTTGATTGATTATATGGGTCTTGACAACAATAAAAAGGATTGTAAGTAGTATCCTTTGGGTGCTGCAGTACTATGAAATAATGGTTTAAAAAGTAAAAAATCTAATTTCAAAAACCACATATAATCATGAGATGTATACAATAATGCTCATAAAAAATAAGATACATATGGTAAACCTTTCTGTAAAATGTAGTGCATATCAAAACAACAAAGTCAAAATACAGTCACAATTAAATCCCACTTGACATACCTTTGTATAATTTCTGCACTATCTTCACAACAACAGCAACCTCTATCAAATTTCTCCGGCTACGCCCGACATCATCAAATTCCTCTTTACCACCAACAACATTTATGAAAGAATAGGGACCAAACATTGGCTCTGAAAGATAGCGTCTTTCGTAACTTTTCTTCATAACATATGGTGCATCCATGATTTGGTTGAAATAGAAATTTGAATTTGGGAAGAAACTTATCGATGGATGCATCCTGTACTGCATGTTTAGAAGGTGCTTCGAATGACCCAACGAACTCAACCTTTTGAACAAGCTTCTTCCAAATCCAGCTTCACTCGAAACCTATCAATCGACATAATGTTCAATTTATGAAAAATGAATCCTTGCCTATTTATATTTGTAGGGTAATAAGGCCAATAGCATTAACTCACATTACTAATAACCGTTGCTGGTAATTGGCACTCATCGCCAACGAGAATGGCATGTCTCAGACCGGGAAGTTGAAGGGGTATTGTCGATTCAGACTCCTTCAATTGTGCAGCTTCATCAATAACCAGCAAGTTTAGTGGTTCCATTTCCACTGAATATAGCTTATATGAACTAGAAGCAGTGCAGAAAATTAAGGAAGCCGCTCGAAAACAGAAGTCCTTAATTGAACCTTCGATCATAACACTTGGCAGGTCAAGGTCTTTAAAAGAATGTTCAAGAGATTTTAGAACAGAAAGACACTTGCTCCTTGTGTATATCAGAGATTGTTTATTCACAAAAGATTCAGAAAAATCTTCAATTGGATATTGGTGTGAAAAAATATCCTTGAGTTCATCGGAAACAACACTCTCTTGAAACAACAAACTTTTCAAATAATCAAGCAAGTCAATGAGAGTTACCATTTTCTGGAAATTATGTTCCAAAATGTAACTTCTTGGTAAATGAGTACCGAATATAAACATACATCTTCTCAGCAATGATTCAGTAGATTTAAATCTGGCTCTCACAAACTCGAGAAATGATTTGAATTCTTCCTTTTCGACTTCCTCTTGATCGCTGTGTTCTTTTTCTATGATCTTTTGATTTTCCACAAAAACTTGGTATTGAGAAACACAATCTTCAAGCAAATCTATCATGGAAGTAAAACAATGCCTCCAGCCAGACACTGGTCCTAAACCCTCCTCAAGCATTTCAACCCGATAATCCAGATAGATATCTTCAATGTCAGAATCCATTTTCAGCCGATCCTTATTCCCAAACAAAAGAATATCTCCCAAAGAACAAAATAAAGCATCCTTTGCAGATTCCCTCACCAACCGTAACACCCTCGAAGCCACTTCATTTATAGCTACATTTTTAGGAGAACAAGTAAGAGTCCGGCAATTCATCCTCAAAAAAGCAAAGAGCATAACACTGACAGTTTTAGTTTTTCCCGTCCCTGGTGGGCCCCATATAAGTTTTGCAGTAGGCTTGTGAATACATTCCATTCTAAGAAGAGCAGCCAAGACTGCCTCTGTTTGGGATTCATTCAACATAGCTAGTAGACTTGTACCAAATCTTTCGGGCAATTGGGACCTACTATGGACACAACAAAGTTCGCAATCCTCCTGAACCTATTTTTCAAAGTTAATGTCAATAAGATCCACCAAAAGTGAAGTATATATTTTACTCATAGAATTAATTAAAGTATATATTTTACTCATAGAATTAATTAAATTATGCTAAGTGGTACTATAGACACCCCATTTTTTACCGCCCTTAAGACTTGGGCGCCTCAGATTGAACACTCGATGATGAAATACTACGCTGTACAATCGTTCAATTTCTTCAGCAAGAAGCTTCGGTTTTGGAGTTTCAAAGCCTAAAACCTTACACCCCCGTTGGACTAAAACATAATTTTTTCTAGCCTAACCACTTAGAGGCTTGCTGGCCAACAGGTGGGCAGCAGGCCAAATTTTATTGGCCAGCCGTCCCCCTCCATGGCCGGCCGGCCATGTTTCCCGACAGGCAGATATTTTGCTGCCAAGTTGTCCCCCTATGTGCATGGACTACACCAGCTGGGTCAATACAGATATTTCCGACAAGGGAACCTGTTTTTCTATAAATAGAGGACCATCCCTCATAGTTTTAGGTTAGAAAAATTTGCCAAGAATCAAAAACTTGCCAAACACTCTCCCTTTCTATCTTGCAATATACATACACTTCCTAAACCAAATTTTTGAGGCTCCTTGCTGAAATTATTGAGCCAAAATTTTAACCCTTGAGAGTGAACACTTTGTGGTTTATGAACCAAAGAGCATGAGCATCCTCTCTTCAAGAGGTATAGCTTTTGCCATCTTCTCTCTTATTTGCACTTCTCTTTTATACACTGTTTTGGGCTGTTTTCAAGTGCTGAAACTTGTGATTAAAAAGCTACCAAAGGTGGAGGGAGGGGTTAACCACCCTTTCTTGAGCCTTATCCAATGGCTTAAATCCTTGTTTTTACCCACTTGTTTCTCAACTTTTAGCTACTTATTTTCTGAGTTTTCAAGGGCTAAAACATGTGATTTTAAAGTCCTAAAAGTGAAAGGGTTAGCCACCCTTCCTTAGGTTTGCTTAGTGGCTTTATTCTCTTCTTTTTTTGGTTTGATTTTCCTAGCTTTTCAACATGATTCCAGCACTGTTTTTGCTATTCTAGTAGTGTGATTTATACAACCCTCCAACCCTTATTGTACCACATTTCAGTGTGCATGTGGCAATCCTCATTTTCGTCTCATTCCTCTTACCAGAACGGTTTGCATTCCAGTTAACAGAGTCTAAATGAAAAGACAAAACATAGGATGCAAAATGTTTACAAACATTAACTTCGTATACACAAGGTACGATCATCTTAAAAATTAAAAACAAGGACATGAAACTCAAACAAAACAATTGCATGCATAATAATCTTTTGTCACAATTCTACCTTGGAATCAGCACAAAGAACTTCCTCGATGATCTTCAGATTTCCAAACTTGCGTAGCGCACTCCATATTCTTCTGTTTGTAGTTATATTTCTCAAAAAAACCACAAACAGTGATTGCCGCATTCCACCTTTGACTTCAATGTCTCTCAATGCTTTGACTTTAAAAAAAGTGGATGAATTATTACCTCCTTCAATCTCATCCTCTGTGATATTAGTGACTGTTGCAAAAGTCCACGTCCTTCCACCTTGTTGTAAATCAGATACAGTTTCGGGTTTTGCATCTGAAACTATAAAAACATCTCCGGGCAAGGTTTTGTAAGGATCCTTGCCACGGTCACTAAATCTGTTTCTCCAGTAATCAACCTTAATATAATAATGCAAAGTTTCATACGGCTCGCACACATTGAGTGAGATCACTTCAGCAAAAGGTGCTTCATGAATGATCTCCATGCTTGAAGCCAAGTCTGCCCGTGTTTCCTCCAATAAAGGAAAAACGAATGAATCAAAGTAATGCTTGACTGACTGAAATGATTCTGGAATCTTCTCCACCTAAAAATAAAGCAATGAAAGTTTAATGGAGGTGAAACACAGTAATGAAAGTTTAACATTAAGTCGCCAAAGGCAAAAAAAAGTTCAATAAACAATATTTCTATGTAAAAACCATAGTGAGGGCAAGATAATACAACAGAACCGAAGAGCATAAAACAGAGTTAAGCACGCTCACTTGACACCTATTAAAATTTGAAAAAAAAAATACTCATAATTGAATATAATTCATTATTTTAAGATTTTTTAAAATTGACAACTAAAATTTTACTAAAACTAAAATAAATGGGTTCAAATTCTTTTTATTTTATTTTATAAATTTATTGTTCAAAAATATGATTAACCATTCAAAAGTCTATGCTTGATTATCTTTGTTAGAGATAATATTAATTATTTTTATAAAATAAATTATTTATATTTTGATTTTTGATTAGAAGTATTGCAGGTCAGGTACATTCCCTTAATTTCCTTTGGTACTCAAGAACGTTTTATTGGCACACATTCCACCAACTAAGAAATACTTACAAATTTTCTTCAAGTTTGGAGGAGTACTATAACTTGTAAACTATAAAACACTGACACTTCAAAACAAGTGCCATATCCGCGTCGGACAAATGGACACTTCGGGACACGCGGACACTTTGGGGACATATATGGGACACATTGCATAGCGTGTCTCCTTATTTAATTAATTTATTTTTAGGGGACCGCTACCTCGGGGACATACCAAGGACATGCCAAGTTATCTTTTCTTCTATTTTATTTAGTGCTTTTAATGAATGTTGAATGTTTACTATTTTTTTCATAGATTTTAATACTTAATAGATCATCCATAAAACAAGATATAAACTGTAAATGTTAATTTGCAAGTACTTTTTCTTTATAAAATATATATACATATATAATTAGAGTTAGTTTTTGTTAATATTGATTATTTGTGGATGTAATATTAATTTAGATAGCAAATACAAATATATGAAAACATATTTTATTGTCGTGTTCCCGCCATGTCCCTGCCGTGTCCGTGTCTCTATTTTTTTGAAATCACGGTGTCCCGCATCCGCATTTGTATCCATGTCTGTGCTTCGTAACTTATAAATTTTCTTAATATATGCTTGAATTTTAGAGTATTTTGAGGCTGTGAAACAGATTCAACTTATTATTACTTTATCCCGTGACAATGTAATCATTTTCTACGCAATTAAAATTTTAAAGTAACTTCTAATTACATAGAATAATTTTATCAATTCATATGAAATTAGGTTTATAATTACATATTGTCAACAACTACTAAATTTATAGAAATAGAAAAAATAAAATAAAATCAAGGATATTAAGTTCAAATTTGAACCCACTAAGTAAAATTCTTGATTGCACCACTGGCCGCAAACGCCAACACATAAAACTGTAATAGGGCAGTTATTTTTTGAAAGGCACAATAACAAATAAAGTAATTACATTTGAGTAAAATCTACTTTGATATCAAGTAAAGGCTTGAATATGCATATTTATAATCATATATACATTGGTTCAATGGTTAAGACTTGGCCTAATAACCTTGAGGTTATGGGTTCAAGTCTTGTGACCACCACTTTATGTATTATGCCAAAAGTTAGATGTGTACTCAATCTTTCCTCTCCCAAACACACATTAATATTTGTTTTTAATATACATATAACTAGTAACCAAAGAAGAAAACATTCATTAGTTCATACAAATGTTGAAGACCATAAAGATTTTAAAATGTACTTACTACAATTTAAACAAAACTTACAAACTAAGTAGAAATACATTTGAAGACCTTGTAAATGAAGTCACCCCTACAAGCTTCTCAAGAAGGAACTGAAGTTGCTATTCTAAAGTGAAATCACCACAAAAACTAAAGGTCCTTGCAAGTGAGATATACATATAGATGCTGAAAAATAAACAAACTCAATTTACCTTGGAATACAAGGTTCTCTAAAGATTATCTTTGGTTTCGTTGTCTTTGTTTCCCTTTGGAAACATTTCTTCTTTATTTGGGCATAGACCTCTAGAGGCAACCACAGCCAAGCTGAGTAGAGCCACGACTAATAGACAATAGGCAGGCAAAGTGAGCTTGTATTTTTATCCACATAATATATCCTTTCCATATAGAACAGGAAGTTACTTATAAAATCTACTACCACTCAAAATGTCACTCACAAGTTCCCTCCTGGGCTATTACATTAGATATGTTATAAATCCTATATGCCACGATCAAAAGTGTGAGGCCATTGTATTCTCACAATCCGATGCAATGCCTAGACTAATACAACTTCAACACCAAAATTTTATGAACTTTAAGATACTTGGAACTATTTTTTGTAGCATGCTTAATCACTTAAGCATTCAGTCATCCTCAAGCACTTGCTTAGACAAAAATTTGACAACACATGAATTAATATAGATTAATTTGACAGCACAAGGATTAAAGTTCAACAACTCAGTCATCCTCGTCCTCAACCTTCAGATACTATTCATGAATTAGGGCTAAAACTGCATACATATTTTCCTCCCCAGACCGTGCTTTAGCGGTAGTCTCATGCACTAAGATGCCCTTTTCTTTTATACTATTCAGAATAAACCAATCTGACCTGAACCCAAACCATCCAGGGCAAACAGCCTGGAAACCATGCTTCACTACATCAAAGAATTGAAACAAACAAAAATTTAAAATTTTCTTTCCTTCTAATTTTTTTTCCTTTACAACAATCTATAAATCAATTTTACTTCTTATCAAACTAAAAGAATTCCAATTGTGTAGCAACTACACCAACATTCAGAAAAGGATCTAATCACACTACATTATGAAACCTATTTACGCTAAATAGTTAAGTTAGAGCTATTCCAGTGGGCATTGCCAAAATGGCAAATGCCAAAACTAAAATTTGGCATGCTATAGTGCCAAAATGTCAAATTTTGCAATAGTGGACCACTGGTGCAAATGACAAGCACAATCATTTTTTGCTAGCCACTTTTATTACCGTTGATCACATGGATTCCCTCACTCATTGGTCTGATCCCCTCTCTATCATTGATCTCATCCATTGATCCCGTGATCACATCCCAAAAAATTTCACCCAACCTTGTCACCATTTCTAACTCTTTCACAATGACACGCACACACACTCACTCACACTCACCCCCCCCTGCCTCACACGATTGGTGACACTCTATTATACCTTTCTTACTTCCAATTTTCTGTTTTTAGGGTCATTTTGGTTGTATAGTTCTATATAGCTTTTATAGCCTTATGTTGATCTCATCCATTGATCCCGTCATCACATCCCAAAAAATTTCACCCAACCTTGTCACCATTTCTAACTCTTTCACAATGACACACACACTCACTCACTCACACTCACCCCCCCTGCCTCACATGATTGGTGACACTCTATTATACCTTTCTTGCTTCCAATTTTCTGTTTTTAGGGTCATTTTGGTTGTATAGTTCTATATAGCTTTTATAGCCTTATGTTGGGCTTTTCCTCCTTTTTCGGGGTGTATAAAATAGTATACCTCTCTTTGTTGCCTCATATAGTGTGTCCATGCTTTGGTGTTTGTCCAAGGCCCCCTTTCATGTTAAGTTGCTCTAGTACTGCAGCTTCTGTTTTTTCTTATTGTAACCTACCTTGCAGGTAGTGCTTTGTGTTGGAAATGGTTATAAAATTCTGGGTAAAACCAAAATTTTTTCCTAAGTTTGGTCTATTTTTTAGGTGGACCCCGTGCGTCGATTTTCACAGTCAAAGTGGTAACGCATTCTATGCCGCGTTGTGATTCACGTGGTATATTTGGTTGCTCAAAACCATTACCGAGTGAATGGAAAATTGAAGCCAAAGTGTGCTCCATGAAAATGGAGTTTTGGTGGAAATTCCTTAAGGTTGTGAAATGGCTTGTCCCACATTGATTTGGTGGGAAGTTTTGAATGGGTTTATAAAGCATGGGTTTGGTACTTGGGGTGTGCCCCAAGGGGTACCCAAGTGTTTTAGAGGGAGAGGTTATGGGCAAAATGGGCTAGACCCATTGGACCCAAAAATCACCACACACGCGCACTGCCATCCGTTCAGTCAGACGGCTTGGGCTTGGGTGTTGGTGTATGGTTGGGTTGGGCTTGTTTGGCCCAATACTAATCTTTTTGGGCAAAAAACATTTGAATTTAATTTTATTTTTAGTAAAATAAAATCCAGAATTCAAATTAAATCGGAAACCGGTTTTACTGTATATCCAAATAGGGCCCTTCCCGTTTTTTATCTGTTTGAATTATAAACCCAACAGATTCAAATCTGTTTGAATTCAAAACCAACAGGTTTGCACCTGTTCAATTCAAAATCTGCTGCCACCGTTCCATCTATAAATAGGACAGCCCTCATTTGGATTTTGTAACTCTAATTCCGTCCTTCATAATTCTGCAAACATTCTTTTCATATTGCTGCATTATTTTCTTCAGTGAAAGAGTATAAACACTTAGTGTGTTGGTTAGGCAAACAATTTGTAGTGCTGCTATTGTTTGTAGTAGATCATTTTATCCTGAGAGATAGACGTCCAAATTTTGAAAGCACCGTGGAGAGAACGAATCTGTCTTAAGGACACAGTGTCAAACACTGGACTTGATCAGATATTTATTCAAAGAAATTAATCAAATAAGTTGTTTAATTTATTATTCTGTTTTATTTATTTATTTAAATCAGATTTTAATTTTGTTTTTGTAACAAAATAAAATCTGTTTTTATTTATTTTTGTTTTATATCTAGTTTGATTTTTGTAATCAAATAAATTCTCTCATTTCCTTTATTTCTTTATATTCTAGTTGTTGTTTAGTACATAACAGAATTTAATCTACTTAAATACAGTGAAAATTGTCCAACACTTTGGAAGCTTTCTTTCTTCTTGTTGGCTGTCTTCTGATGTTGGAAGCAAGATTTGCTTCTTTGATTGTTCCCTAGGATGTTGAGTTATTCAAGGCCCCATGTGTCTTCATATGTGGCCCTTGAACACTTTTGAAGTGCCCTGGGGTTTTTAGGTTTAGTAGTTCGTTAGCTTGTTTATTTTGTTTTCTCAGCTTCACAAAGCTCCTCTGTTTATTTGGTTAGGGCCTAGCGTATTCCCCTTGTAAATCTATAAGTTCATTTTTTTTATTTCATGACATCCAAAAAAGAAAAAGATCTAGTCTTTTACAATATGCATCTCTCTCTCTATCTCTCACGATCTGTCTTTGCATTTCAACAATCAATCTCCGACTTACATCTTTGTCTCCATCGCCAACAACCAATCTCCATTTCTCCCAAAATATCAAATCAAATACAAAGATGCATATAGTTCTAATCTTTAAAGGCGTTACATAGAGGACACAACTTTCATCACAATCTTAACATGGTCTTCATCACAAACACACACCCATTCACACAAGTAGGTCAATTTGAATTTTGTGATCTTTCTATTTCTTGATCAAGAGAAATGCATATGTGAAGATGTTGTGTTAAATTTTAGAAGGATGTGTTAATTTTTGTGAAGTTTTTGTTGTGAAATTTGTTGAAATTTTGGGTTATTGATTTCTAGCTGTGAAATTTGTTGTAGTAGTTTCTTTTTTGTTTTTTTCCCAAAGAAAGATGGGGTGGAAGACTGGGAATACAGTTAAGAAGTCGAGGTGGCAAATTTGGCAATTGCTTTGGCACAAGGTTAGACATTGTAAACATTTCCGTGATTTGAAGAGCTCTTAACTTCAACTCTTGCCAAATTTTGGCTATAGCAACAACTATGGTAGATTAATGGGGTGCTTCTTGAGTGAAGAGAAGGACCGGCTGATAATAAAATAAGAAGACAAAGCTATTATATTTTACATCAGGAGGTCTTTCTACAAAGTGACATCTCACATTGCCTAGGTACCAAATTAATGTGCAATAAAGAAGCATGAGGTGTACCGTCCCCCAATAGCTACCTTTTGGGGTTGCATTCTACCCAAGAACGTGTAACATGGCATCAAAAGCCACAAAATCCAGAGATGGATAGAGTGCATGTCCTTGGAATACAAGTGGTAGGTGCAACCATGTGAGCACCCTAACGCTGTGTTTGGTTGGGGGATTTTGGGAGGGATTTAGAAAGGGAAAGGGAAAAGGTGTGTGAAACTAGGTGAAATATAAGTATGTTTTATTCACATTTCACCTACCTTTTCCCTTTTCCATTTTCCTTTCCAAATCCCTCCTCAAATCCCCCAACCAAACACAGCATAAGTGTGCCAGAGAGTGTGAAGCGAAATCCCATATTGTCTGGGTACAAAAGCAAGGTGCACTATATGAACATGAGAGCACCCTCGCCTTAGCTAGCTTTGGGGTTTGAGTCCCATGACCATGCAAAACTCTCTGCATCTCTTACATAGAAAAACAAATATAAAAAATCTCCTTTCCACTGCATGCCATGGGGTTGAATTTTGTAAAATATATTCATAACAAATGATAGCATTGTAAAATACATAATCTTGAATGCAATGTATTGGAATGTGCATTGTGCATACTCGTGTCCATATCCAATACTACAAAAAAACGAACATTTGTTCTTATGATCCAGTGATTAAGATTTAATGAATTTTTGCTGATGAAAAAAAAAAAAAAAAAAAAAAAAGGTTTAATGAAAATTTATTTCAAAATCAAAAATTTCGAAAGTTAACCAATAAAAAAAAAAAAAAAAAAAAAAAAAACAAAGGTTTAATGAAAATTTATTTCAAAATCAAAAATTTCGAAAGTTAACCAATAAATTAATGCAATATGTCAATTCAAAAGAGATAAAAGAAACCAGAGATGCTCAATAAATTCAGATACATCAACAAATCAAATATCAAACCATATATCAACCAAAAAAATAAGAGGCTAACATCTATAGTTGTACATTAATTTCTGCATTGGATTGAAATTTTTGAAGGGCCTGGCACAGAAACAGCCCAGACCTCGAAGCAGAACTGGGGTTAGGCAAACAATCATATTTAACTGCTTTTTTCCATTTTGAGAATCAACCACCATAATATTATATTTACACATATCAATAATTTAGTCCCAAAAACTAGAAAAAAATAAAAATAAGTTGAACAACCAATCACAAGATCAAACAAATAATGTATATGCCTATAAGATTGGCGATAAGATTTTTTATACATGAATCCCATAAATAAATTTTGTCCTGTTTTGTGATCGGTTACTGTATTTGCAACAGAACTACAAAATATGTGATTTTACGTATCTACCATGTCAGTGTACAGTGGAATGGTGAAAAATGGAGCATAAGGCACACCTGGTTCTTGTAAAGATTCTCATTGTAGATGTCTTCAAGAGACCATGAAAACATCAAATCAGTGAAGCTTGAATCATAAGGAACCCCTATCATCATCAATTTCTCACTCTTTTCTATCTCGTTTCTTCCACTTGGTAATGTATTGCTTATCTGAAACAACAAAAAATCAAAACCCCATTTCACTTTAAACCCTTCTATAAAACCTCACAACAATGAGAGAGAGAGAGAGAGAGATGTACCAAACCCCCATTTCACTTTAGACCCTTGTATAAAACCTCAAAACAATGTCAATGAGAAAAAAAGGGTATTAACATAGCATGAGAAAGAAATGGGTTTTGTTAGTTATGAAGGAAGGAAGTGAAAAAGGAAAAGGAAAAGAACCTAGGAATCTCTCAGTACAAGCACTTATGAAGGAAGGAAGTGAAAAGGAAAAGGAAAAGGAAAAGGAAAAGAACCTAGGAATCTCTCAGTGCAAGCACTTGTCTGCTAAAATCTCTCTGTCTGTATGTATAAGATGATCTGTATACTATATATACAAATAAAGTTAACAAAAATCCAATGACAAGTGAGAAAGCATAAGAAAAGGGAACAAAGCAGAGTTCCTTTTAGACCCAATGAAAAAGAATCACATACTCCCATTGACGAAGAAAGTCTTCTCATCTTCTTTTCCCACTACAGTACTCGCCAGAACAGAGGACTACTTCCTTCACAAAGGGGTCAGGGCCTATAACGGTTACAGACATGATGAAAAAATAGCCAAATAATTAGAATTTTAGAATTTTATAGATTAATAACTATAACAATTTAAATTTCACATAATTTTTTAAGATAAATTATATTAAATTATGAATCATTTGCATTTTACCTCCTGAACTTTAAAACTCAGCAGTTAACCACCTTAAAATAACAATCACATCAAAGTATTATCTTGTTATCGTTATCCTTTTTTTGTTAAAATTCTGTTCCGTACATTTTTTAAGATAAATTACAGTACATGACATATTTATTGAAGTTTTAGGACAATAATATCATAATCTGGTCATTCCATTTACATTTTGCCACCAAGGGAGGCAAAGTGATAATGAGTAGTATTGTTCTAAAAAATAATAAGTGTTATATATTTTATATATAACCTGATTCCGTTTAAATTCCTAATAAAATCCTAATCAAAATTGTTAATCATAACAAGTTAATAGTTCAAGGTGTCATCTGTTAAATTTGAAATTTAATAGGATAAAGTGCAAATGTTTTATAATTTAAGAGGATTTATCCTAATTTACTCAATTTTTTAAATAAGTTGTTTCACGACTATTTTTACTTTTGCAAATTACACTCTCTTTCTTTTCAATAAATCTGAGTGCAAATTTTGTATCAAAAACTTAATTTGATACAAAACATTTCAACTCTTACTTGCAATCAAATCTTTTAAAAAAATTTCAAACGTATCTTAGGAATTTATTTTAATTAATTTTTATGAAATGAAGCCATCTGCAATTTTTATTTTTTGAAAAATTGAGTAATAATCAATCTGTTTGGTATTAAATTTTCAAAAACAATTTGAGTTTTTGTTTTGTTTTGTGATTTGTTATTTTTTGTAAACTTTTCTATTATTTTAATAAGTCTTTTTTAATTTTTTTAGATGTACCTAATTCTAAATTTATTTGAAAAATAAAATATTCATGAAAAAATCTTTAAAAAACAAAAATCAATAAATACAACATTAAAAAATGAAAATGTAGTTAATTGTTTTTTTGTATTTTTTGTTTCTATTAAATTTTTAAAAAATAAAATTCATAAATTTTATACTTTTTACTGATTAAGTGGATCTAAAGAGTAAAAAAAAATTGATTAAAATATAATAAAAAAATTCATTAAAAAAAAATACGAATTGAAAACTCTGTTTTTAAATAAAATGAAAAATCTAGTGAAGTCAAAATTTTAAAAAAATAATTACAAATAAGTGATAAATTTTATAAATATTAATAATTAAAATCATAAATTTAAAAAAATAATTACAAATAAGTGATAAATTTTATAAATATTAATAATTAAAATCATAAATTTTTGTAGAATTTATAGTAATTTTTTTATACCATCATTGAATGGTAGTTTTTGCTTTAAAAAATGTAAAACCAAATTGTCAAAAAATTGGTGAAAAGTTTGTTTCTTTTTTTTGTGAGAATATTCCAAAAAATTAATTTATTTGTGTAAATAACTAACTTTTTAAACTATTTATCAAACTAACTCACTTTTTAAAATCGCATCTTAAGCATGCGATTTCATATTGACATGACCCACATCTATATACTAGTAAGGGTTCGTTTGGGATGTGGGTTGACTTTTTGGTTATTTTAGCCTGGGCTAAAAAATTTCGTTTGGGATGGGCTTTTTGACTTTTTTGATTTTTGTGAAAAAAAAATGAAATAATTATTATTTGAATGTGACATTTTGTCTTATTAACTTTTTAGCTTATTTTGTAGCTATTTTAGCCCAAGATTGAAATGCCAAACGAAGGCTAAGTCAAGTTAATATGAAATTACATATGATACGATTTCACCATGAAATCGCATTTTGAACATATGATTTCATGATAAAGTTACATTTTGAACTTGCATTTTTTTAAAAAGTAATCTTGTTTGATAAATAGTTTTAAAAGTGAGTTATTTTGATAAATAATTTATTTCTTAGAATATTTATAAAAAAATTAATACAAAAAACTCGTTTTGATTTAAGAAGATTTGATTTGATATAAATTTAATGAAATAATTGAAACTTGTTTAGTTATTTTTTATTTATTAAATTTGAATTTAATTAAAAAATTAATAAAAAATTGATAAGCTACTGAAACCTACAAGTACCACAACTACCACGCACATTATGTGATAGAAGATGAGAACATTGCTCCTTTTCTTGTGCTTTGGTGTCATGCTTCTCCTTCGCAAGCTCTAAGGGTTGTTTTGGGAACCAAGTAAAAAGTTGCATTTTGCAGCTTCAAAATACAGCCAACAGCTTGGTTTTTTTGGCAACAAATCATTTGTGAAGGTAGCAAAACCCAACAGGTGAAATTACATCAACTACCCTCCAGTTGTAAAATGAGCCACATGGGTGAAATTATAAATTTCTAAATTGCGTGGGGACATTTTGGTCATTTTATTGTGATGTAACATCATAAAGAAATATTAATCAAAAAACCAAAACTAGTTTTTTATCAACTTCTCAAGTCACTTTCTAAAAAAGCAAAAAAGCTTAGTTAAAAGTTAACTTTTAACTATTTTTCCAAAACATCCCTAATTCATTGTGGTGTGGAGTTGGCCTTCCCTTTGGTCTAGACCGAAGGATCTTATCGGGTAACGTAAAGTTTATCATCGGTATGATTTTGATGATTCAAATTTTTATTTTATTTGACCTTGTATATTATTTATAAAAAAAAATTAAATCGATTTGATATTCATAATTTCTTTATTTTATTAAATTTATCTCTAAAAAAATTAATGATCAATATATTTTTAAAAATAGATCATCCATTTTTTTGGTACAAATGCAACAAAATGTATGTGTTATAAATATCAAATTAATTTAATTTTTTATTTTATAGATTATATATAGGCATCCGACAAAATTAACAGTTCAAATTATCAAAATAGAATTTATGAGGGACCAGCCAACATCCTCCAATCCAAATGATGTATTATGAAGAAACATGCCCCGTCTTGTGGATAGTACACAGTAATACATAAATGAAAATAGGAAAAAAAAAATCATATATAATATACCTACCTATCTATCTATCTATACTATAACCTGGTATCCAAGCCTTTTTCTCAGGTCACCTGGCATATTTTTTTATCCTAATAAAAAATAAATAAATAAATAAATAAACAAAACAAGGTTTGAATCCAAAACCTTCGATTTCATTAAGAAAACTCTTATCACTTGGGTATCATACAAATTATAATATTTATTTTTTTATTCTTACTTATTGGAATTGCTAGTATAAGTGAAGTAGAGCCTTACATTAGAATGTTCTAGAAGGCTACCGTGTGTCAATCTAAATGATTGACATGTGTCATTACTAAAGTTTTGTTTAGCATGTGCTAAAATAGCACATGATATTTTAGCATATTATCCTACTAATGGTAACTCATGCGATGCATGTGTATATGATTTAAAATGAATAACTTCAAAATAGGATTGCAAAACGTATGATGTGTTATAGTTTTAGGTTTAATATCTGTCACGACCCAAACTCGTCCCTATGGGTTTAGTGTCGTAATCAGCCAGTAATCTATGATTACCAAAGGCTTGTTTAACGATAATGACAATAATACAATATAAAGGGACAGGCGGAAGCCAATCAATAAAAGAGAATGTCCAATGAACTGTAAGGACCTGAGTGAAAATAAACTTTCATATACATAACCATATTCATAACCACTTATGCCATAAACACACACACACACACATATATATATATATATGACAATATGCAAGTTAGGGAATTAATCACATCATCAAAAACAGTATAAACAAAAGTCTTAAACATTCTTTACACTTGGCAAAATCAAAAGGGTGGATTTGAACCACCCAAAAAAAAGCCTTGACACATGCAAGTTTGGAACCTCACTATAAGGCACAATAGCTGGCTTGACAAAAAAAGGATTCGGGTCTCCGATGATCGGTCACCTACATATATATAACAAACTATGGGCTAAAACCTAGTGAATAGCAAATGTGTAAAGAGGTTAAGAATGATGTATTATAGTTTTTGAAACAATTGATTTCAATCAATATCCTTTGTCAATCAATCGTTCAATCATTTTCAATCATATTCATATTCATATAGGTCATATGTGATACATCCAATAGCAATAATACAATACAATAGGTCTTAAAGACCGAACAATCAATTGAAGGCCATCAAACAATAACAATAGTTTTAAGATTTGGAACTGACAGAGATCTCTGTAATAGTAGCGATATCAATAAAAATAACAATAACAATACGCTATAGATGCCACGAATACAATTCAAAAGAAGATTATCATTCAATCGATAGAAAGTAACCATTTAAAAATAATATAATTTATCGTTCAGAAAATAAATACAATTTGAACATATCTTTACAACATTATTACTCACAGTGGGCTTCTCGATAAACGTACTATTGGTTCGGCGTCCGACCTAGACAAATAAAGTCAAGCACAACAATACAATTATATTCAATCCTTGGTTAATACCATTGATTCGATTGTTTACTTATTCAATTACTATTTGTCTATACTCGTTCGGTTTTAATCTTTCATTTATTCATTCTAATGCACTCATGAGATGCAAATGATTATGAAAATGTTTAAAACCATGTAAACGGAGGCCCGGAATGTGGAAAAGAGGAGCGAAGAACAAAACCCGGACTAGCCTAACTGCCGCACGTGCGGGGGTCCTTGTCGCACGTGCCCCGCACGTGCGGGGCCACCTCCACACCTGCCTCCTGCACCTGCAATTTAAGCAGAATGCTCCACAAAATTGCCCTGTTTTCCGCACGTGTGGCGCTGGAAAATTTTTCAATCCGAAATACCTCTGTTATGGCAGTGCATCCATTTGCAACTGTCAACCTTAACATCATGTATTTCATCTCAAAACCTATGAAGGTGACCTTGACATTACAAACTCTATCATCAAACACAAATGTGA